GGAGAAGCCTGGAAGGCGCGAGCGACGTCGGCGACATTGTTGAGAGGAGCCCGGGCAGCCTCGGCGCCGGAGAGTGCGAATGCCGCTAGGGCAACGGCGAGAGAAAGACGCATGATGGCTGATGGGAGATGCTGACCTTGCGGGGGTGTTGTCTGTCGAGACCTGCTCTGAAGACTGACGAAGCTGGGAGTTCTGCGGGGAGGCCATGACCCAGGGCCAAACCTTTATACTTTTACAGCCTCGATGATTCTCCGCGAATGCTCGACTCTGTGCGTGGAGGAGGGGGGCGTCTGTACACCTTGCATGGGTGAAAATGTCGGCTACTTTTTCTTACCGGTCGACGGCCGCCGTGTGTGCGTGTGTGTGTGCGTGTGTGCGGTGTACGGTACGCGTACGAGCGTGAAAGTCGAGTTGTTCCCTGTGCTGTGTGAAGAAGCTATGATCGGCGGGCGGCGGCGGAGGGCCTCCTTCCTCACGGACCCAGCCCGCCGGCTCCGATCCTCGACAAGAGAATCCCGGATTCTTGGATGCAGAGACCGGATGCACGGACGAGGGTACATGCTGGGTTACCGCGGTACGGAGCGCGCAACGCCCTTTTGTTCTTTTTTAGGTTTCTTTCTTTTCGCCTCTTCTCTCTCTGATCGATCACACACACAAGGAAGAAGAAAGAAGGCACTGGAGGCAAAAGGCACAAAGCCTACTGGGCCGCACAACATCCGGCATCCGGGATCTTGGTAATGGACTGAATTCCGGGGAGCGTTCCGGTCTCCGTGGTCTCCGTGGTCTCCGTGGGGGGGTCAAACCTCCGGATCTCCGCCCCTCTCCGTCTTCCCTCCGAAGCGGTTTGTTTGACAGGCCCTCCTTCTGTCTGGTTGCTGCTGCTGCCTTTGACAGGTGAGACATACAGTGTACCTCCTTCTTGTCCTCTGTCTTTGTCTCGGCCCAACCATCGTTCGCAGCCCACGCATCTCTGAATACCTCGGCCCCCCCCCACATTCCTTCACCTTTAGCTTGGTTTCGTGTCCCGCTCTAACCTCGTTCACCTCGGGCAAGGACGTCCACCTCACACACTCACGCACACCACCCTCCTCCTCCTCCTCCTCCTCCTCATGGTAAGCCATCTGCCACGTCCTAAGAGGACTCGACCCAACCAATCACCTTGTTCTCAGCGTTGATCCCTCGTCTGACTACCCTTGTCTCTCAGCCCTCCGGCCTTGCCAGCGGCACCATCCTCGCGGCGGGACCCTTGCTGCAGGCATTCGCAGAGTGCAGGGAGTTCGTGGATCCGACCGTAGACGCTTGGAAGGATGAAGATCCTGCATCGAAAGAAGAAGAGCAGAAAGAGGACGTCGGCCCGAACCATCATCCACCACAACCGACGGACTCCATGAGGTCAACGGGCGTTCCAGAGGTCTCGTCCTTCGCAACTCCTCTCCAAGAACCGCCGCTCGTCACCCGTGTCGCTCAATCGCCTCTACCGTTGATCTCGGACGCAACCGTACACTCGCCGAGAGAGGACAGTCCATCGACTCCGTCGGTATCGGATCTCGCTTCCGGTCCATCCGTCTCCCCATGGGAACCCAGCTGGCCAGCGTTGCTCCCGGTCGACGCGACCAAGGACGCCCTCACGTCGGACGTCGTGAGCAGTCTCCTGCAGCGATTCCTGTTCGCGGAGATCAGGGCAAAGCGGCTTCCTTCGGGCACGGACGTCGCTACAATCGTCCAGCTGCTGACGGCGTCGTCGTCGGAAGACTCCTCTGTCGTCTCCGACCACGAGTCCACCGACTTCGTATCGCACAGTGACACCGGGAAGACCAGCCAGGAAGGTTCTTCCTGCGTCCACGATTGCACCGACAGAGATGTGCCCGTGCACCAGACTGTCGCAGTTCATCCTCCATCCTCCAAGAGCGCGGTCCTCCTCCTCTGTCTATGCTTCGTGCTGCTCTTGCCCTTGACGATCGGTTGGATGCACTGGCGGCTGTCGGTCGTCGAGAAACGGTTACACATCGACGTTGGACGCGTGTTGCAGGGGCATCTTGACGACTGTTGGCATTTCATCGCTGCATTGCCTGGCGTGTTGGAACAGATAATCTCAAGGAGCCTATAATACATATACTTTACTAATGCTCGTACATCGACCGTCTGTGCCAAGATATCGCATATCGCTGACGCACGTTGGTTCGATACGGGAGAGAGGCTTTCAAGCGTTGCAGCCGTCTTGTTGAATGTGCAAGACGTGCCTCAAAGCTTTTTGGACAGCTCCGATCCTTCGGACTTTTCGAGGTCTTTCGAATGCCACTCCCATGCCACTCCCATGTCACGGGCAGTTTCGTGAGTAAAGCCGAACCGCAGGAGCAAAGAAGCATCTTCCTCAAGCAAGGTCAATTGCATTACAAATGTTTTAAATTAGAACATGAAATCGAGCGAGTGCTTTGTCGCGCTGAGGTGACCTGACTTGCTTTCGGCACCTTTCCGGATCTTCATGTTGCTCCCTGGCCATACCACGTAACCACTCCGTACGAAGCGAAGCTTGAAGAAGTGCTCTCAAGATCCGAAAGAGCGTGGCATCCTATAGATGGGAGCCGAGCCAATCCAGACTTACTCACACGTTTGGGGTTTCCGAACACAGGGAGCATCGAGACTTTGCTGTCGGATGCGATTCGAGGACCACGGCACGCATGCAAAAGGCCGCTGTAACCATTGACATCACATGTTCCCATGAGGATTCAGGATTTGTGGAAGCCGCTTAGCGACACTGTGTGTGATGCGCGCCCTGCTTTTTTCGAGATATTCCTGTCGTCTCTTGGCCCTGACTGTGAGAGGAGCAAGGGAAGGGCAGAAAACGCATCAAGGCGGCGGACCATTTTCGCTGGTGTCTGTTTGTGTGTCTTGTTGCCACGTATGAAGACTTTGCCGCTTTCGAGACGTGGCATTCGCGGCATCCATTTTCGACATTTCGCCAATTCGCGCATCACCTCATTTTCGCACTTCTTCGTAACGCCCCCCTAAAATATCACACGTATCGCATCTTACAAGTCTTGTGGTCATCAAATTGAATACATTGGTTCTTTGTGAAAGGACGCTTTCGCTCTCGGATCTCACCCAGCTTCCGTCGGTCCATTCCCAACCTCATTCTCTGACTCTGCCGCCTCCTACGGTCCCAACATGGTCGCAACGGATACGCAGCAGCAGCAAGCGCACTCCTCAATGCCTTCCCAGTCATCATGGTCTCTAGGCGTCTTTCGCACCCCTCTCCTCATCGTGATCAGTCTTCCCGTTCTCCTCTCGCCCTTCTCTCTTCTTGCCGCATTAGCACTTTACGCCCTGCTTCTCTCTGCGGTGGGCGTCTACGCCTCATACATGGCGCTTCGCGACTATCTTCACCTTCGCATTCCTCAGCTTTTCGATGACCCCAACGTCCCTGCTTCCGGTTCTACAACGAAATTACAGGAAGCTGCGGAAGAGGCCCAGCTGCTCGACAACTGGCCGCTTTTGCGAAACCTCGTCCTTGCTCCTCCTGTTGCGATGTACGTTGCGAGTCGAGCCGTGGCTACCTTGTTCCTGCACGGCACGGAGAGGTGCGTCTCGGTCGGATTCCGAGCTGCACCAGCTCTGTTCCGCGCGATCCGCGCTGGGGCAGTGAGCGCGATGCAGTTCGCCTCGGACGTGGTCGGCGGGGTCGTCTTCGTGTGGGGTTACGTGAAGGTCCCCGTCATCGAAATCTCGAAGACTTTGCATGGCGTGGCGGTCACTGCCATGGATGTCGTGGGGGACGCTGGACATGCCGTCCTCGCCTTTGCCTTGCGGCAGGTCGATCTCGTCTGCAGCATAGCGAACTGGGTCTTGGCGACTTCTGTAGCCACCCTCGATCTCGTCAAGCGAACGGTGGGCGCCATCTATCGGCCTTTGTTGAAAGCGGCATCTCGCTCCGTCAGGTTCCTCACGGCCCCGCTTCGTGCGGCCGTGCGCCAGTGCGTTTCTCTGGCAACGCGCATCGCACCCGTCATCCTGGCAGCCGCGGAGGCCGCATACGCTCGCTGCGTCCTCATCGCCACCGCGACGCTCACATGGGCCAAGCACATGGCGGTCGTGAGCGCGGAAAGGATCAGTCACTTGGCGATCCTCGTCGCTCCCTACGCAGACGCAGCATGCGCACGGATCTCATCCCTCGTATGGTCGTCCACGGCGCTCACCGTCCGCGCCATACGGTCACTTCTCAAACCCAGCGTGTTGCTCGTGCAATCCATCGGTCGAGTCCTCTCCCCCGTCCTCTCCATCCTCCCGACCATCTTCACGAAGACGACATCCCTCGTCGACGCCCTCCTCACGCACGTGGAACTCGTCGCGACGCGTTTCGCGTACGCCCTCGTACGCCTCCCCAAGGTCACCCACCGGGCCGCCAAGCCCGTGTGGGCGTTCCTGCATCGCGCCCTGGCTCCCCTGGCGCCCGTGGCTTCGGCCGCGTACGCGGTGGCGGTCGCTTACGCTCTGCTCGTGGCTCGGGCCGTGGCGGCCGCTCAGACGGTCGCTTGGGGCGTGGCGGAGAGCGTCGGGAGGGAGACGTGGGCGGCCGTCGATAGGGCTAAGGGGACGGCGGAGGGCGTCACGGTGTTCGTCAGACGAATAGGGAGTATGGCTCCCGCTCATTAGTATGGAGGGTTTGGTTGCCCAGTTTCGTCCCTTCCCTATTGGTTTTGTATCTGATCCCGCGTGCTACCATCCTCAATTTTGTATAGTTCTGGTTCATCGTCCTCATGTTTGATATCTTGATCATACCCGTAATCATCACCCTCTGCACCTTTGGAACGATCTTTCCTAGCACGCTCTCCGCTTACAAGCCCCGGTCGCCAGCAACTTTGGAATCTCTGCCGTACTGTACTTCACTGCATGAGAGATGGAAAGTGACATCCACCCCGAGTCTTTGGCCTAGCATCGGCCTCCAAATTTCTCCCATATTTGTTGGCGTTTATATATCCAAAATTTGCGGCCCCGTTTGTCCGGACTCTTTGGCCGAGCGGTTAAGGCGCTTCCCTGCTAAAGTTTGCGTCAAGCTTTGTGAGGAAGTTCCCTCTGGGAGCACAGGTTCAAATCCTGTAGGAGTCGCTCTTTTGTTGTACGGGAAGACTTTTGTGGATCTAAGTGGGTCGACCGCGATGGATCCTCGCAAGCTTTCGTTTTGCTGGACAAAAGTCGCACTCGCAAGAAAGCGGTGATCGGGAGCGCTAGACTGCGGAGAAGGGGTCGTGACGGTCGCATAGTGCAAGGATGTTCAGATAAAAATCTGATCGTTATCCGGTACGGTCTGTTGCGCAGAAGTCGCACCCTCTGCCGAGCGTGGACGAGGTCGAGAGCTGTCGCTGCACTGCACAAGACTCAGATCGACTTCGGGAAGCTGCGAGAAGGTTGCAAGGTCGTCAAGGATTAGAAGGCGAGCGATCAAAGCACGATGGTCGTTGAAGCCGTTTCAAGATGAGAGAAGAGGAAACGTAACAGAGGAGGAAGAGAGACGGCGGACCACGTAGAATAGGGAGCATCTCTACATGTAATATTACGGTAATTCCCCCGCCCATCCGCACCCCCCGCAAATAGACTCCGACTTGCAGTGTCGCTGTCCAAAGCTGCGCAAAGGACCAGTGCACGAAAGATAGCATTAAGTCTTTTGATTGCACGTCCCTCGAAGGGCCGGGCGGGCGCGGGGGGGGGGGGCGGGGGGGCGGTG